ACTTTAACTGCGGCTATCCGGTGGTTCCGAAAAATCCCAGATATTTTCGGGATTTTTCAGGGTGGCCATTTTTTGATAGCCAAATCAGCGGCCCACTCGGTGATTGGCTGAGAAAATACCTGATAAATAGTGATAGGGTATTTATCGGGTATTTTTCCAGCTCTGTTTTATACCAAGTGCACACCACTAGCAACAAAGCCTATGTAGAACAGCACACATAGAACTGCAGTTAACTTAGCATACAGTTCTCAAGATCTGGATCTTTTAACCAGATCAGCAACAACAACACCCTTAAAAACAAAGACATCCCAATCATTTATTGCATTAAAAAGGCTGGACAACACATCCAATTATCATGTCACATTACACAGGGAAGCCATTGAAATTCATAAACATAAACACAATTTCAACATGAAAGAAGAGAGTTTAAAAATAAATAGGGCATGGTTTCCTGTCCTGAAAAACACAAAATGCTCTACATCTTACAATAACACTACAGATAAGATTAGAATTTCAACAGCCCATCCATATGCAAAAGAACCTCCTCAGGAAAGCTCCTCCATTAACATGTCACAGCATGGGGAACTCCTCCAAGATAATGACGCAGCCCTACCCCACCTTCTTGAGTAGATATAAATTACCTGCTTACCATTTTTCTTCTCTTTGACACAGAGAGTACTCCGTCTTTCTGTGTTACACCTCTAAGGATGCCAGTCACAGCTGCTGGCGAAACGTTAGGTCCTGCAATGCCAAGACCACGGCCTTACAGTCCGAAAATCTACAACTAATTAAAAATATTGCCACTGAAAGCTAGTGAGGGAATAGTTTCAGAGTGCAGCCATGTTGCAGTAGAATGGCTAGATTGAAGTCCAATAGCACCTTAGAGACTAACAAGATTTTTGAGGTATGAGTTTTCGAGAGTCAGGAGTGTATCTGATGAAGGGAGGTTTGACTCTCAAAAGCTTATACCCTGAAAATTTTGTTGCTCTCTTATTTGCAAAAGTTGGCTTGAGACTCAACATCAAAAAAACTAAGATCATGGCATCCGGCCCCATCGCTCCTCGGCAAAGAGAAGGAGAAGTCGTGGAAGCAGTGACAGACTTCATTTTCCTGTATGGACTTCCGGTCTTCCGCCGTCCTCTGAAGCTAGCTCAACTTCATGTTCGTTGCATCTATGACATTGTCTAACCATCTAAAAGTAGAGACATCACCCTGCCAACAAAAGTCTGTATGGTCAGAGCAATGGTATTCCCAGTAGTCATGTATGGCTGTGAGAGTTGGACCATAAGGAAGGTTGAGCACCGAAGAATAGATGCTTTCGAATTATGGTGCTGGAGAAGACTCTTGAGAGTCCCTTGAACTGCAGGGAGATCAAATCAGTCAATCCTAAAAGAAATCAACCCTGACTGTTCCCTGGAAGGCCAGATACTGAAGCTGAAGCTCAAATACTTTGGCCACCAAATGAGAAGGGAGCACTCACTGGAGAAGACCCTGATGCTGGGAAAGATTGAAAGTAACAAAAGAAGGGGATGGCAAAGAATGAGATGGTTAGACAGTGTTATCGATGCGGCAAACGTGAAGTTGAGCAAACTACGGAGGACGACGGAGGACAGGAGGGCCTGGCGTGATGTGATCCATGGGATCGCGAAGAGTCAGACTTCACTGTGTGTCAGAATCCTGGTTAAATCAGTTCTCAACACCACTCACTTCGAATAAAGTTTAGTTTATTTGAAACGTTGAAGAAGTTTGTTAGGACTGAAGGTGAAAGTGCGGAGAGTGCAGATATATTGTGTTCAAGCAAAGGCACTAAAGATCAGGACCCAATCGCCCCACAGCATCTGCCCGCCAGAAACAACGGTCAACTACCCCCCCACACACACTAAGCACGCACCCCTCTACAGAAACAAGACAAAACAACAGGTCTCTGGGACACATCAAAGCATTTAGGAAAACAAAAGCATTCGGTTTTCACACCCCTCTTCCCCTCCTCCTTCCTCTATGGCAGGTGAATTATAAACTGCATACTGAGTCTGACACTGTGACCAATTTCACACAAGAGCTGTGCCGTGGTCACGCCTCCCTTTGCCCCACTTCTATTGGTCAATTTCCCACTCGAAGCCGCACAGCTGCACTTTAACCCGCAGCTTCGCCCAATTTTCCCCGTGGTTTCATGATCCTCAGAAAACAGGATCACGAAAATCGGGCGAAGCCACGGGTCAAAATGCGGCCGCGAAGCTTCGAGTGGGAAATTGACCAACAGAAGCGGGGCAGAGGGAGGCGTGACCGCGGCGCAGCTCTTGTGTGAAATTGGTCAGAGTGACTGAACAGATCAGCCAATATCATAATGCCCCTATATAAATCAATGGTGTGACCTCATTTGGAATACTGTGTGCAGTTCTGGTCACCACACCTTAAAAAGGATATTATAGCTTTGGAAAAAGTGCAGAAAAGGGCAACTCGAATGATAAAAGGGTTGGAACACTTTCCCTATGAGGAAAGGTTAAAGCGCTTAGGGCTCTTTAGCTTGGAGAAAAGACGACTGAGGGGTGACATGATCGAGGTTTATAAGATTATGCATGGGAAAGAGCAGGTAAAGAAAGAGGTACTTTTCTCCCTTTCTCACAATACAAGAACCCGTGGGCACTCCATGAAATTGCTGAGCGGTCGGGTTAGAACGGATAAAAGGAAGTACTTATTCACCCAAAGAGTGATTAACACATGGAATTCACTGCCACAGGAAGTGGTGGGTGCTACAAGCATGGACAGCTTCAAAAGGGAATTAGATAAGCATATGGAGCAGAGGTCCATCAGTGGCTATTAGCCACAAGGTATAGATAGGGACTCTGGGGCAAGTGATGCTCTGTCATCTTGGTGCTTGGGAGTGGGAGGGCTTCTAGTGTCCTGGCCCCACTGTTGGACCTCCTGATGGCACAGAGTGTTGGACTGGATGGGCCTTTGGCCTGATCCAACATTGGCGTCTCTTATGTTCTTAACAACAACAACAAGTTGCTGGTGGGATCGGATCTGGCGAAGGAAGGTAATCTCAGTGGAAGAAACAAAATTCTTGCCCAGGCTGACTGGTAGCGCGTGCTGA